TTTTTTTTCCTGAAAACCTTTTAAAATTTAAATTAACTGAGAAGTTCACAGGATGTGGTGGCGTTTTCTCACAGTCTACTGGCACTATCAGCTCGCCAAATTATCCTGACAAGTATCTGCCACACATGCACTGTATTTACCAGATTCAGGTTGCATGGGTAAGTTTAATAAACTCAAGCCCAATGTCTTTTTTAAAAAAAGTTTATGTATCATTTTGTAGTCGAAACAAGTCCGACTCACCTTCGACAATTTTGACATAGAAGTTGTACAGAATGATGAGTGCTCATATGATAACGTCGCAGTGTATGAGTCTTACGTTAGTCCAACGGAACATGGAAAATTGTTAGGAAGGTGAAGTGTTTCTTAAACTTGTTTGTGAGTCACTGAGGATTTTACAATTTTTTAAAGATTCTGTGGCACCATGCTTCCGCCTACGCTTCTTTCAAGCACGTACAAGATGGCCGTAGTGTTCAGCTCAGATCGTTCAATTGCTGGAAATGGATTTTCGGCTAGGTATAGTCCACTTTTAAAAATTCACAATTTTATTAGTCAATTCTAATTCATGTGTTCGTCGTCCTTCTGGAAGGAGCGTTAAAGGTACCTACTTTCAGATTTGAAGGAGTTGATCCGTCAACCGACTGTGATCGTACTTACACAGAACCTGTGGGTCAAATTATCTTTGATGGTACCCGAGGGCGATATTCGCAATGTGACTTTCACATTTCTGTAAGATTTAAAGGGTTTCATAGCTGTATATGCTCCGAACTACGCTTAAAATCCTTTCAGGTTATTTCGACTGCCCGTCTTGTGCTAAAAATGAATAATATGAGCATTCCTTGCTTCAAATCGCAGCTCATTCTAAGGTAGGATTCTCTTTGGGCACATCTGTTGCTGTTCCTCAATTCTGTTGGATCTGATGCATCGTTTGATATCTATAGAAACGGTGCTACTGACCAGTCGCCTGGGTTCGCATCCCTCAACACCGAATCATCGGTATGCGATGAGTATCCGATGCCAACCCTGCGATCGCATGGTAGTCGAGTGTTCCTTCGACTGCAAACCACAGATTCATCGTACACCTTCTTCAACATAAGCTATGAACAGATAATTTCTTGTGAGTTACCAAATTTTCTCTTTGATGTTGAAGTTATCGCATATGGAACTTTAGCCTGCGGAGGACATGTTGAAGGAGTGTCTGGATCCATTGCCGCTCCTCAATATCCGCTGAAAGATTCGCGAAGTTTGGATTGCGCATGGACAATTGCAGTAGCTCTTGGTAACTCTTTTATGAAAAACACATGCACTAATTCAAATTGTTGACTTTTTAGGAAATCGTGTTCGTTTCTCGCTTGTTAACATAGACGATTTGAAATCTAGCGACGATAATGGGTTCTGCGGAATGTTTGCAGCGAATCGACTTGATGTAAGCTGAAATTTGAATTTATCGTAATTGGTAAGGTTGAAGAAGAGTCAGAGTTCCACCTGTTTGTCCTCATGTTTCAAAGAACAAGTGCATTCTAGTGCCATTACAAGATTGTCTGCCTAGGTCCTTGATGGCCCTCATAGTGACGCTCGACTAATGAGACGCTATTGTCGCAAGGTGGTTGGAGCTGAGCCACTGACGTCAGATGATCATGAGATTGCTGTTCGATATAAACAACATGGTGGCGCTATGCTTGGTCCTTTATACGGATTTATGGCGCATTTCTCAACGGGTCAGTAGCTTATGTGGGGTAGACACTCTACCATCTAATAGATCTCTTTTGCAGTATGCACAGACATTGTGTTAACGGATTTCTTGGGCTCCATCCAGTCTCCTGGCTATCCAAATAATGTCTGGTCTGGCCAGTATTGTTCATGGACTATCAAAGTATGAACATTAATTTGCCCTAAGACCTCTTCTACAGCTGTCTTATATAGGTTCCTCCTGGCAATCGTATCCAGCTCAATTTCCATAACTTTGTGGTGGACAAACGATATCGCTATGGTACGATACCCGGCAGATGTTCAGATAATTGGCTAAAGGTTATTTTTGAAATATCATTTGTGGTTAGATTTCACTTTCTTTCAACAAATTTTAGTTTGGAGATGGAGAGGTGGCCGAAGCTACGGTAAAAATAGGCAATTCTATCAATGTCACAAATAAATTAGTGGAGGCATGCTCAGATGTTGCAAAGCCTCTTGTTGTTAAGGTGAGCTTTTT